TAAATTTCATGGTTATACGTGCTCTGTAGCTCAAGTTGTGCTCTTATGAAGTTGGGCCTGCATGAGTTAAACTTATTAATTGGACAGGAATCTGATTAGGAATGTGAATGATTTTACCCTATCCAAAAGATCTTATACGCTTCTATGTTCTACACGAAAGTTATAGAGGCATGCTTAAGGTTTAATTTGAGACTTAAACCATATCATTTGAAGATCTGTAGCTCACGATAAAGGTTAAAAACTGAGGTGCTGTCCATGTCATCAGGCTAGTTTTGACAGAATTACCGAATCACATGTTTTGTGTTTAAACTCGTGGATAATGTGCTTATTTGACAATATGATATTCATAAAAGTTGTAGACAATTGACTTATCTATCATTTAGTTTTTTAAATTCATTAAGATCATGCATGTAGCTCCAGTTGTATAGAAATTACTGAAGTCTGGTCAAATTTACTTTCCCAGTTTTGGAATGTGACTCAATTTTGAATGTTTGTTGATTTATCACCTGCTAAATGACCTTATTTGCTTTCAGTATCTTCATAAGAATTGTAGATTCATCTCTTAGGATTCCAATGCAATTTGATTTGTGTTCATACGAGTTATGTTATATCGATTTCAAAAACGCTGCCTAGGTTAAATTTTCCAAAATTACGCGATAATTTCTGAAATGTGTCTTCTTTGGTTTAATGCATGCTTGAATGCTTACATGGACTTAGTTGAACTAAGTAAAATGTCGAATATTCTTTGATAAGGCTATTTTAATAAATGTAGGTGTTTGACGAGTCGACCTCGCCGACTACCATTTATTTTGTGTTTGACTCGATCGCTACCAGGTGGGTTCATTTATGTTGAATCTACATTTATCGCACTTGTTATTTCGTATAAATGTTTGTCACGATAGTTTCTGTATGCGTGAGAACCCTAGTCTAAGTATCCTGACGGTAGTGCCTTTGACGAATGCATAATCAGTGGAAGTCACCTGCCCGTTGTATCCGGGAGGTGGGCGCCCGAATCCGTGTAGAGCAGAGGGGATTGTCTGAACGCCCGAATCCGTGTAGAGCGGAGGGGTAATTCAACTTCACTGTCTCCTGGTAAGATCCTACGCCCGTTGCATCCGGGGTGGGAGTGCTTCCAGTTACATCCTCGCTGATGTCTGGTCGGAAGGTTTGCTGTATGTACATAGGAGGTTTGCGATAGGCCCTAATAGGGAGTTAGATCTGGATTCTATGCATACATTATTTATGGTTATGGATCTTTATACGAAATATACTGTGCGGTAATGGTGAGTATGATGGTTGTACTCACCCCCATTTACTTTTCTGTCCTCTTGTTTCCTCTTCCTATCTTTATAGGTTGAGCATTGGTTGGCGGCGGTAGCGAGAGACGATCGAGTGGCGGTCGTTGGATTATGTCTTACTTACTTCCGCTTTTGTTATCTCAATAGACCATTTTTTTAACTTTGAATAATTATTCTTCCGCTTTAGTTATTTTGAAATGTTGGTTAGACTACGGAATTTCCTGTGGAGTATTTTAATTATGCATGACTGGTTTGATGATTATGAATAATTGAGATTTTATTTTTGAATTGTTAGATTTTATCTGTGTAAATGTTTATTTGTTTAGTTGTTTAAGTAGCGCCCGTTGAATGTTAAAGATTTAAATTGGGATTTTGCGAAAAATAAACTCTGATCTTTATAAATAAATTCGGTAAATTCTTTAAAATAAAACGGGGCGTTACACTTGCTGACACACCAGACATTGGTTTACAAACCTCGCTACCTGCCTTTTTCATTCCTCGTCTCCAGAACGTCTTCCTCAGGTCCTGGTACATCTTCGTGCTACCAGGATGGACGGTGTACGGGGAACTGTGAGCCTCTCTCAGTATCTCCCGTCGCAGTTCTCAAACCTTCGGAACACAAAGTCTTCTCTCGAATACTAAAGCACCATCGGTCACAACTGCGAAACCACCAACCTTTCCGGCCTCCATCAACTCCTTCATCTGGCATAAGAAACGATCATTCGGCTGCTCGACGACTATTCTCTCCCGAAGAGTTGGACCCACGACCAAAGCAGTCAAGATATCACCGGCCGTCGAGGTCGACTCCACTGCCTCTAATTGTAGCCGCTCGAACTCCCGAACTAAGACATCTTGCCCGGTGAATAGGCAAGACAGCTGGCCATAACTCTACCGACTCAGGGCGTCGACGACTACATTAGCTTTCCCGGGATGGTAGCTAATAGTGCAGTCATAGTCCTTGACCAACTCCAACCATCTGCACTGCCGCATATTCAACTCCTTCTGGGTGAAAATGCACTTCAGGCTCTTATGGTCCGTGAAAATCTCCCACTTCCCTCCGTAAAGGTAATGCCTCCAGATCTTCAGTGCATGAACCACTGGGGCTAGCTCCAAATCATGCGTGGGCAGTTCTGCTCGTGAGGCTTCAGCTGTAACGCCCCACTTTATTTTAAAAGATTTATCGAATTTATTTATAAAAATCATAATAAATTTTTCGCAAATCTCAAATTAAATTTAAAACTCAGTGGGCGCTACTTAACTACCAAGAACTCTTAACCGAAAATACGAACACATCAGATAAAATCGATACATGTATGATTACTAATTATCAAACTTCACTTACACTCAATAAGTTCCAAAATCATAAAGGCAATTCACAATCCAAGGTTCAAATTGACGTAATAAAAAATATCCCAATTCAACATAAGTTCATAAAAGCGGAAGCAGTAATAATCATAGGTAAAATATAGTAGACCACCACTCGCCCTGCCTCGTCACCCGCCAACTACTTAACCTGCATCCGTGAAGAGCAGGTGGGAGTGAGTACAGTTGAAAAATATTGTACTCACACTAGGCATATGAACAACTCAGAAAATGTTAAGATGGTATGGTCGCAGCATGAACATAAACAATAATAAATCATGTCTCATCTCTAGTCACATCAATGACTCTTGCCATTGCTATGGCTCACTCATGTGCACATCTACGCTCATCAAAACTCAGCCATGCCATATCAATGAAACATGGAAGTGCATGCCACATCAATGACACGGCCTTCTCATAGGTCTCAGTGAGATTTACCTCGTAAGGGTAACCGTATTTCATCATACGGGGACAACCGTACCGATGGACATCAAGCTCACATCGATAGGCTACATGCTCACATGCATACATAGATCATACCGGTTAAACATATTTTAAACACACATATGCACAGGAATTTTAAAATAACTAACCCACCTGGATTCCAGATTGATAATAACTCAAAGAAATGGAAGTAGGCGAGGCTGGACTCCTCGACTACCTACATTAAGTCAAGATGCTATAATCAACATCTATCTTGACTTTAAACGAAAAACACAAATCATACTTAGTCGAACTTGATTCGACTAAGTTGTTCGTGAAGTCTTGTGGACATTGGAACACTTAGACTCGATTCTAAGACTCAACCAAACACGCATGGGAGTTCACATAATCTCAATCAAAGATTTACCAAGTCAAACAAACAAAGAAATAGCATGCGAGTCGGTTTACAATTTTTAACTCAAAAACTACATTTTCGAACTAAAAGCCGATAAATCACATAATCAGGTTGGTCAGGTTACCAAATGAGTTAGGCTCTGAAATTTTAAACAAAAGTCCACCTCACTGGACTTAGGAAAATCACCAAATTTCAGCCTCTAACTCAAACACATGATTTTAAAAAATTCGAACAAGTTTGCAGCAAAAACGAGCACAAATCTAAAACCTGATATAACGAATGATTCAACCTTTGAACTTTTTACACAATAAACCTCAGCATATGCATATCAACATATAAAAATTTTAGACTTAAACCTTTAACATGCGAATTATGAAAATTCTAACAAGAATCTGCAGCTTCCGAATTTTCATCAAAACTGAACCAATATGAACTCCAAAAATTCTGATATTTTTACAGCATGAAACACATCACAATGTAAACACTTCAACCGAAAATCAGAATTTTTTTTCAGCAACAGATCAAATTATCATAATTAAAACAATTTTTGGCAGAATCACAAAGTAAATTATTTACCTTAGCAAACTGAGTCCAAAAATTCTGAAAATTTTACACTAACGTATAAAAATTCTAGAGAGACAACATACTAAAATTTCATCCACTATGGTGCACTACATAATTTATTATGAAATTAACACAATTCTGCCCAATTAATTTAATTAATTAAATTAGCTACAGGCCGTGAAAAATTATGAAACTTTTACACTGGCTTTATATTCATCAGAGGACATAGAACATAAAATTTCACATCAATCGGATCAGTGTGCAATTTATCATGAATTTAATACGAATTCAGCAATTATACGAGTTCGACACTACATAAATGACTCGACACAAACCGAAAATGCCCGAAGCCTTCACCATAAGGCCAAGGATCCTTTATGTTCCAATTTCCATAGAAACTAAACACGAACTTACGAGGTCTCGTTCGATTTCTCAAAATCGACGAGAGCAATTCATAATTTATCCACAACAAGGATCCACATTATCATTCTTCTATCAACAATGAATTATAGCATGCCAACACATAAATACACGACATATATATATATATCGAAAGGGCTAAGGTTAAAGCCTCGGTATCGTTCTCGGGAATCGTTCGAAAATGGGACAGAGGAAAACGAACGGCAAGCACGCGGTGGCTAGCGGGCGGCGCGTGACGGCTAAGCGCGACTTGCGACAAGGCACAGCGGCTGAGGAGCAGTTCGTCAGGGACTTGCTACTCGCGTGACGGCGCTCGGTGCTTGTCGCGGAGGCGCTGCGCGTGGAGGTTGATGGCGGGTTGCGGTGGTGGTCGCTCGCCGGAGAAGATGTTGTCGTGGATTGCGAGAGGAGGGCTCGCCGGTGATGATGGCGAGGTGCGGCGTCGCTGCTGACAGGGCGCGCGGCTGTGGAGTTCTCTTCTCCGGCAGGACTTGAAGGGAACAAAATTCTGCTGCCCGATGATGGAACTCGCGACTGCTCGCTGCTCGAGGGTCTTCGGAGGCACACAGATGGACGGTGACCGATGGTATGCTGATATGAAGTGGACGGCCGACGAACAATGCACGGGGAGGGGTGGGGGGAGAAGAAGGAAATTCGATCAGCACTGCTGCTGCTTGATAATTGCCTGCGAAGGATGGCATCGCGAGCAGCTACTTGGTCTCTCTCATTCTCGCCGCTGCAATGGTGAGATTTTTGGGAGAAATATGCAATCCTCCTCTCTGATCGCTTGGCTGATAAACTTGAGAAAGAAAATCTGATTTATTTGCGGCGCGATGGATTTGCGAGAGGAGAGCGTTTGAGAGAAGGCTGCGCGATCGATTTCTCAAGAGAGAATGAGATGAAAGATTGCTGAGGGTGTCTGCGGGTTATGAGAGAAAGATAGAGGTGAGCGTGAGGTTAAAAAAAAACTTAGGGTTTTCTTTTCTCCTTTAAACACACCAAAGATATTTAGGTCAGTCCGGGTTAATGGGTCGAGAATATAAGGTCTTTTATGGGCCGATAATACTTGAACAAAAAGGGTCCGAATATTTAGCTCTTTTGAGCTGAAAAATAATAAGGCTCGATGCGGCTAGGCGCGCGGGTTCTCGGTTTTCCTCGAGCTCGACATAACTATATTAAACTCGGTTTGATCGCGCGTTAATTAAATTAAAACCGGATATATATATTACATATAATACACATTGATTATTTTATAATAATACATATTTAAACATTTAAAGACAATTTTGCATTCAATAAATAATAATAATAGTAATAATAATAATAATAATAATAATAATAATAATAATAATAATAAAATAAATAAATAATCCCAAATAATACCTAAATAAACGAGGCGCTACATCAGCTGCCTCGACGCATAAGCTACCACCTTCCCATGCTGCATCAACACACAGCCTAAACCCATCTTCTAAGCATCACTATAAATGGTGAAGTCCAAAGAAGGGTCGGGAATAGTTAAACACTGGTGCAGTGGTCAATCTCCTCTTCAACTCATGGAAACTGGCCTCGCACTTGCGGCTCCACACAAACCTCGCCGATTTCTTCGTCTGCTGAGTAATCGGTAAGGCTATCTTCGAAAAGCCCTCGATGAATCTCCGGTAATACCCTGCCGAACCGAGAAAACTACAGATGTCGCTGGCATTTTTCGGCGTCTCTCATCTACTCACGGCTTCAATCTTGCCGGTTTCAACCTTAATGCCTCTAGCTGTCACGATGTGGCCAAGGAATGCCACTCGGTCTAGCCAGAACTCGAACTTCGAGAACTTTGCATACAGCTTCTCGCGGCGAAGGGTCTCGAGCACAATACGGAGATGCTCCTTGTGCTGCTCTACGTCCCAGGAATACACCAGAATGTCGTCGATGAACACGATGATGAACTGGTCCATAAACACCGCAGGTGCATTAGCCAACCCGAATGGCATCACCACGAACTCATAATGTCCGTACCTAGTCTGGAACGCAGCCTTAGAGATGTCGGAATCTCTAATCTTCAGCTGATGGTAGCCAGACCTCAGATCAATCTTCGAGAAAATGTTGGCTCCCCTCAGCTGGTCGAAAAGGTCCTTGATGGGGGGAAGGGGATACTTGTTCTTAACCGTAAGGTGATTAAGCTCACGGTAGTCGATACACATGCACATAGATCCATCCTTCTTCTTCACGAATAGAACGGGCGCTCCCCAAGGAGAAACACTCGGTTGAATAAAACCGAGATCAAGAAACTCTTGGATTTGGGCCTTAAGCTCTTGAAGCTCCTTCGGCACCATACGATACGAGGCTTTCAAAATGGACCAGCTCCGGGCACTAAGTCGATGGTGAACTTGACATGGCAGTCCGGTGGTCCTCCTGGCAGTTGTTCTGGAAACACGTCCAAGTACTTACATACAATAGACACGCTCTCTGGAGATCACTCGGGATCCTCTCCCACCACACTCACAAGATAGCCTTAATAGCTACTGCTGGACAAACACTTCATCACTTTAGGGGAATAAATGACGTGGGGTACATTTCTGGACTTGGCTCCATAGAAAGTGATCGGCTAGCCGTCGGTGGGGTGAAGGGTCACCTCTCGCTCTGGGCATCGGATGTCGGCTCGATAGCGGGTCAACCAGTCCATGCCGAGGATTACATCAAAGTCTCGCATATCTATAACATAGGTGTATGCCTCTAGAATCTGACCGCCGATACTCACACGAAGATTATGGATCATTGAATCAATAGCAATTGTTTTTCCCGAGGCTAGGCTAACCTCGAGAGAGTCGACCTTATTGATGGAGTTAATTGCTAGGACGTTAAGGCAATGAGAAGATATGAAAGAATGCGAAGCACCAGTATCACATAAGGCAAAGATAGGCACATTGGAAACGGAAATCATGCCGGACATAGTACCTGCGTTGCAGGCGGCCTCCTCATGGGTGATAGCATAAACACGGGCTTGGCCTCCTGCCCTCTGTTGGTTCAGTGGTGGGGGCTGTCAGGGCTGCTGCTGCTGATGCGGCAGTGGGAGCTACTGCTGATGAGGCTGTTGCTGCTGGAATGGATGCTGCCTTCGGGGTTCAGGGCACGCGCTAAGGAAATGCCCGAGGCGCTGGCAGTTGTAGCAGACTTTCTGAGTGTACCATCACTTTCCTTCATGGTTACGACCACAACTAGGGTACCTCGGATTTTGGCCCTGGGTGGCAGGGCGCTCGTCACGTCGGTCGTTCCCTCCACGCTCCCCCTTATGAGGGTCTCGGCGGGGATCAGCCTTTCTCTTGCCCGAACTAGAGTCGGGCGGAACAGTGGCAACTCGCTGGATCACAGGAGCATGAAGGTAGGATGGGACAAGGGTGTCAAGAGATCGGTGGCTCTCAAGCTACTGTGCACGGATAACCATCTCATCGTATGGCAAGACCCCGTGGCTGGTGAGGAGCCAGCTGATGTCCAGGTGAAGACCATCCCGGAACTTGGTAGATTTCCTGAAGTCCTTGTCTACCAGAAGTGGATCAAATTCACTCATACGGGCGAACTCTCGCTCGTACTCCTCAACTGTCCGGGTCCCCTGGTTAAGATCTCAGAACTCGCGCTGCATCCGCATTCGGTACTCCTGAGGGTAGTACTTCTCCAGAACCACGTCTTTCATTTGGTCCCAAGTCAAGTTGGCTATCTCATCTAGCCTCAGCCTCCAATAATTTGACCACCATGTGGCCGCATTGCCATCCAGTTGGAATCGAGCATAAGCAATCCGCTGCTCATTCGTACAGAACAGCAGGTCGAAGATCCTCTCTAGCTTGCGGATCCATTCAGTGGCAGCTACAGGACCCTCGACTCCCGTAAAAGTCGGTGGGCTCAGCTGCTGAAACTTCATCACAATCTCAGCATGGTCATTAGCCTGGTTACAAGCAGGCTGTTGGGGTGGGGGCTGCCGACGAGGGGGTGTCGGCTGACGTGGAGGAGTTTGCTGACGCGGGGGAAATCGTTAGACCTGATGATTGCGAGTTCGAGCCATGATTCTACAACATTTAATTCATGCATTTAGCACGAGACTAAGGTCTCTAAAGTTAATAAATTTAAGATAGGTGGATAAACTCCTAAGCCCCGATTTACATCACGTTACAACATAAATATCAGTCAATACATAAGCATTTTAATATCACTTATGTAATCATACATGAGTTGGCGCGGCACGACGGAAGCGAGTGGTCATAACTACATCATATAATCCAAATATCTCACAAAGTTCATATAATTCATATATAAAAGTCTACTCAAACATAGACCTGCTCTGATACCAAGCTGTAACGCCCCACTTTGATTTAGCGAAAATCCACGACTTTCCTGAAAAAAACAATTTAATTTTCAAAACTCAGTTTAAACATTTATGGCGTTACTCATTTAAAACCAAAGTCAATCTCATATATAACAGTCATAGCCATGACATTCAAACATAAATCAACACCCCCATCAAGGTCCAAAGTCAACAAACACCCAAACCGGGTTTCCAAATTCCAAAGCAAAGACATCATAATGTCAAACGAGGCATCTCCCCAAAAGTGGTTCGAAGCATCATAAATATCCAGAGTTCACAAAATATTCCAAATCATAAATAAACATAAGTAATGCGAAAGCAACACAAATAATGTTCTAGTCATCTAGACCGAACACCACTCGCCTCGCCTCGCCGTGCCCGCAACCTGCTTACCCTGCGTCTGGAAAGAAAAAGTGTGGATGAGCACGTATGGAATCTGTGGTGCTCACCACTATGCACATAAATAACAAATAATATAAGACAGGTACAGTCGCAGTATGTATACAAATATATTAACTATCCCATCTCCTATCCCAAGTTCGTTCTCATGTACACGCCTACACATAGACTACTGCCGGTACACGTATCATATGCCTTCGCTCAGTCCTTATAACAATGCCCTAACAGTAGGAGTCTCCCCCGACGACCAAGGTTTCCACCTTGGATTTACATCAAGGTACTGATCGCCGGCCGAGGACCCATGCCTTGGGATGTGATTGTTTATAAATTCAACTAGTTTTTATTTGGTTTGGTTTTAACTATAGTTAATTTTGTAGTATGGTTAGTTGTTAGTGGATATATTAAATTAATATTTAAATAAAATAATTAAAATTGATTTGATGTAAAGTAAGAGAAAAATAATTGAAAGTGATGGTTAATTAAAATTATGTGAGTGGATGAATAGTGAATTAAAGTTGATGTGATGTGTAAGAATGATTGGTTGTATTATTTTAATTGTATTGATATAATTGGAGATAGTGGGGTTGAGTTAAGTTGAGTTAAATTTAAATTTTGATTGATTTTTTTTTACTGTTGAAACAATATCCAATCGCCCCCTTGGTCTTACAGGCGACGCATCCTTCGCAAAAGACGTAAAGAGTATATTACCCCAACAGGGTCCGTTCTATAGCTACGGAGATAACCGTTCGACAGCCGGTATAGCTCACATCGAAAGCTACATGGTTCACATGAATACATTGATCATACCATACAAGTAAAATCAATTATTCACAGCATAACAATTAAAAATAAATCCACCTGGATGCCGAAGTAGCAAAATTCACACTAAGGCAGGAACTTAGGTCGAGGGCTCAATTAGTCGAACCTACATTAATCAAGATAGTGCTATCAACAGCCTATCCAGACACTTAGAATCACATACAACAATATTCACTTG